CAAATCGATTACATCATACCACAATATTAGCTGCCTGAGGATGGTATGGAAGATGAAAAACTCAGTAAATATATTGGTGATGACCTCAATCTTGGACCTTCTTCACAGTAAACTGGATGCCCTCATCAGATGCCCATAAAGGAAGGATATGTTCTGTAAGGGCTTGATTGTGGCTGCCTCATTAGCAGATCAAATGGACACTGCAGTATCATATCCTGGATAGGTATCAACTGCAGTCAGGGCAGACCTCTTGAGGAAAAGTCAGTAATCAATGTGATAATCAGGCAGGTCAAGAATGACTTGGAATCATGCCATATTGATCCAGTAAGAGTCCAGTAAACCTGTGGGTTTCCTTTTCAGTCTGTGGGAGAGTGAAGGCCAGTAGCTTATTATGAACTGCACTTGGAATTGTATACATTCTCCCCATTCAGAGTTTTTCCCAAAACTTAGTGAACTGGACCCTTGAATTTTCTTAAGGTTGATCTCCCACCCCTTTTCTCTCATATGAGCCACCATCCAACATAGAGCCTCTTCCACTGTGGCCTTATCTGGCCCTTATTGTCCATATAGTAGTAGATGTCATTTTCATTAGGAAATTGGGCCTCTTTTCAGATCTCTGCCCACCAAAATATGACAATATGAAGGAGAATCCAAATAACCTTGAGCAAGAATGGTATATTGAACTCCTTCCTGGATGAAAACAAACTGCTTCTGGCTACTCTCAGCCGTGAGAGTGGAGAAAAAGGCATTGGCAAGATCAGTAATTCCATACCCAGGGCCAGTGCCATTTGGTCACTGTATTGGCAAGGTCAAAAATGGCCACAGCAATTGGCTTAACAATTTTATTCAGCTCCCAGTAATCTCTTGTCAGTCACATAATCAGCTGCCTTCTTCAACCACACAGGGTCATTATAAGGAGAACTTATTAGGTCTCCAACTTTCTTCACCTCCATTGATAGGAAGGAAATATCTTTGACCTTCCCCCCTCCCTTCAGTTTTTGTTTAATTTTAATTACATGGAATGATTCAGACAATTTGAAGAGCTTCCATTTAGCCCTACCCACAATAAGACCCTTCCCACAATCAGCCACTCTGACAGAGCCAGACAGGGGATCTGCCACCCACCTCTACATAAGTAAAGAGGCTCTTTAGTGGTCTCCCTGCCCCTTGATAGAAATTGTAATATCCCTATGAATCCATTGATGGTGCTTTGGTATAATAGTAATTTGCCTGCTGGTATACAGCAGCCCCTTATATATTTGATGTCCAGTTGCTGCAGTTAAAACAGCCTGAAATCTAGAGAACACCTCAGCCCTCACCCTAGAGCAGGGATTCTATAAGTCCATGAATAGACTTTAAGAGGTCCGTAATGAAGTTGGATGGGGGAGTAAATGACATCTTTATTTTCACTAACCTTTCACTGAAATTTTGTTGTTCCTTCAATTATAATTGGAAGCAAAACCTTCTGAGAAGGGAGCTATAAACTTCACCAGACTTCCAGTGACACTAAAAAAGTTAAGAACCCTTACCCTAGCAGGACTTACTCCAACAGTCCCTTGAACTCAAGGGTAAAGGATTATGTACTCATTAACTAAAGAATCAACTTTGGGAAAAGTTGGCAAAGCCAGATCAGGGGTGATGGGCTCAGAAAGTGATAAAAGGTAGAGAGAGTGAACGTCATAGTGAAAATGAGAGACTCAGAAAATACTGAGCTTTGTTTTAGACAACTTGATTTTATGATGCTGATGAGGTTTCCAGAGCTGTCCAGCAAGCAGTTGTTGATGCGGAACTGGAGTTTGTTAGAGAGATTAGAGCTAGAAATACAGATTTGGGAGTTATGTGTGACAAGATAGCAATTGAACTCATAGCAATGGATGAGATCACCAGAAGAGGATATTAAAAGAGAAAACCCAGGTCAGAGCACTGGGGACAACCCATGCTTCAAAACCAGGAAAAGGATGATGATCTAGTGAAGGAAACTGAAAAGGAGTGATCAAAACAGGAGGGCTAAGAGAAGTGTCAGAAAAAAACAAGGAAGGACAGAGTGCACAGGAAAGAAATGGCTAATAGGGTCAGAAGCCTCTGATTAAGGAGGATGAAAACTGAAGGGAGATGGGGTATCCAATTGATTGTGGCTGCCTCATTAACAGGCCAAATGGACAGTGCAGTACCATATCCTGAGAAGTGGGAAGGGGCACTATCAGATTGAACAGTTAAGGATTGTTGATAACTTTGAAGACAACAGATTTAGTTGAGTGGTTGGGTTGGAAACCAAGAAGTTGAGAAGTAATTGAAAAGTGAGGAAATGGAAGCAATGAGTAGAGGTGACTTTCATAACTATGAAAAACCGAAGAGTGAGGGACAACAGCTTGATTGTCAAAGAGTCATAAGGGTCAAAAATAGATTTTTTTTCAAGGATGAGGAAAACCAGGGCACATATATAGACATCAAGGAAAACACCAATAGATAAAGTGAATTTGAAGGTGAGAGATAGAAGGACAATGATAGAAGGGGCAAATCCTGAAGGAAACAAGTGAGGATAAAATCAAGAGTACAACTAGAAGTGCTGGCTTCCGTTGACTTTACTGTCCCTCAAACTCTTAGCCTATCACTGTCTTCTCTTTTACAGCTGTCATCAAAGGAAAAAACTGTGCGTTTATTGCTTCTGCTTTCTCATTTCCCACTCCTCAACTCTTTGAAATCTTGCTTCTATTCCTACTAATTAACCCCAATATAGTGATGATTTAGCTACTCAGCTGTCAAGTCTACTGAGAGAGGCTGTGGAGGCAGAAATCAACACTAATCTCCATTCATACCACAACCACCCTAATTCATGCCCTCATTACCTATGACCTAGATAATTCCAATAGCCCTCTAATTGCTCTTCTTGCATCCAGCCACTCCCCTCTTTAATCCATCCTACAGGTAGGTGCCATATCGATGTTCCCAAAGCACGGGTCTGACGATGATCACTCCCCCACACTTTTAATGACTCCAATTGCTTCTAGTATAATATGTAGAATACTGTTTAGCATTTGAAGCCCTTCACCATCTGGTCCTAGCCTGTCTTTTTCTAAACTCATTATCCATTATTCCCACTCACAATCACTGTATTCCAGGCAATCTGGTGTACTCGCTTTTCTTTACATATGACATGCTTCCTCTTGCCTCTGTGTCCCAGCACAGGCTGTTCCCCATTCCTGAAATGTCCCTCTTCAGTTCTGCTTCGTGGAATCTATGGTTCCTATCAAGTTTCAGCTCAAGTAACAATGTCTCTGAGAGGTTTTTCCTAATTCCCCCAGGTGTTAGGGTTTCCCAGAGTTACCTTGTATTTCTCTGTGCACAAGTAAATACAAACTATGTGTAAGTAGATACAGGGTAATTTTGGGGAGATGCTAACAACTTGGAGCAGGAGAATATCAATGCGGCAACTATCTGAAGGACCTACTGGAGAGGGGAAAGAATAGATGTCTCCCTTCCCTCATCTTCCTGTCAGTAGAATGCAAGTTCTTTGAGGTTAGGGGCTGAGTTCAAGCAGTGTTTATAGAGTAAGATGAAGGTGTGAATCACCCTTAACTCCTCAGTCCTCCTCATCCCTCTCCTACATCCAGTTAGTCTTCCAAGTCTTAATGATTTTGCCTCTACTATATCCCTCACCAAAATCTTATCTCATTTGAACTTCACAACAAAGGTAGTTATGATAGTATAGGTATTATTATGCCCATTTTACAGATTAAGGTTCCGAGAGGTTAAGTAATTTGCCCATGGTCTCATAGTGTCAAAGGCAAGATTTGACTGCTGGTCTTCCAGACTTCAAGTCCACTCTATCCACTACCCCACACAAAGATGAAGGAAAATTTGTTAATGATAAATAGGGGTTCCAAAGGGTAGAGTTGAAGACAGTAGGGCCCAGGGAGGGAGGTAGAGTTTAGGTCACTAAAGATTAGAGAGCAAGTGGTAGTAGCTGAGGAGTGGGCTTTTTTAACTCTCAAGATGGCAAGCTTGAAGAATGCCAGAAGTTTGGGAGAAAGGAAGGAAGGAGCTGGCTAGCCATAGTATGGGGGAAGTACTATTTAACAGGGACTCCCACACTCTAGGATGATATGAGTCTTTTATGTCTCAGGTACTAGGAAGAAGGTGTTGAGCCAGCAAAGAGATCAGCAGATGGGCCTTTCTGATTTAGTAAATATCTAGTGATCGTTTTTTGTGTCCAGAAGAAAAGTCATCATTTAGTTGCTGTTTTTCTGATAATGAACCTTTGTGAATTCAGCTAGGCTGATCCTCCAGCAATAGACACACAGTCTGTGCCTCAGCCTGTATTCAGATCCTTTGAATTTTAGTAGGAACTGTGAGAACTTGTGTTCCCCTGGTGCTCTGTCCACTGTGCCACCTAACTGTCCCAAGATAATATTTTAAAAAGCATAGTACCTGGCACATATTAGGTGCTATATAAATGTTTATTCTCTTTCCTTCCCCTTTCCCTTCCTCTTCCCCTTCCTGTTTAGTGAAGGTGGATAATTGATAGCTACAAATAGTGGAAGGAACCTTCTTTTAGACAGCACTCCTCAAAAATCTCATAGAGAAATCCAAAAAAAATTCTTCTTGTTCTAGAATTTTAACATAGGCAGTGTCAAGTCAAATCAGAAGTATGGGGTGTGAAATAGTGTTTTTAATAGACGTTTTTGTTGTGGTATTTGTAACGACAGGGTTTGATATGTCTTTTGAACCTCTTCCACAAAAACCTTTCTGCTAGTGGTCCTAAAGAATAGTGTCATTGTTTGAATTGAATATAATTTCTTTTCCCCTGTCAGTACTCTTATAAGAACAATGAAGTGTTTAAAGATAAGTAGGTAATAGGAAGAGAAGATGCCATGGGCATGTATGTAGTTAACTACAAAATTGGTTAATTAATTCCTTAAGAGAAATGGATATTGATTTCAAAGAATACCCAACAACTTTAACCAAGCATGTGAAGTCCTGCTATTTTACCTTCTCTACAGGAAGGCTATGGTATTGGAGATGATGAGTATTCTTGCGCATATGATGGCTGCCGGCAGCTGATTTGGTATAATGCCAGAAGTAAACCACATTCACACCCCTGTTGGAAAGAAGGTATTCATTTAACTTTGGACTGTGGGCCCTGGCTAGAATTGTTTTTTTACTACTAAATCACTAATATTGTGGTTTGAGGTGGGGTTTTTTTTAAGTCATGAAGAATAAAAGGGGGAGAGTAATGGTATTCTGATATTACATATAACAACAAGCCATTTTTATCTGAACTGGTAAATCTTAGATTTAAAGAATTTTCCTTCTCATAAAATTGCATTTTCTCTAGCACTTGAATTCCTGGTATGTTGAATATTATACTAAATTAAACTGTACTGGGGCAGCTAGGTGGTACAGTCAATAGAGCACCCACCCTGGAGTCACTAAGACCTGAGTTCAAATTCAGCCTCAGGCACTTGACATTTAATAGCTGTGTGACCCTGGGCAAGTCACTTAGCCCTAATTGCCTCACCAAAAAAAGAAAATTTCTTGGGGCAGCTAGGTGGTGCAGTGGATAGAACTCTAGCCTAGGAGTTAAAAGGACCTGAGTTCAAATCCATACTCAGACACTTGACACTTACTAGCTGTGTAACACTGGGCAAGTCACTTAAACCCTGATTGCTTCACCATAAAGCAAGAAAAAAAAATTAAACTGTACTTTCAACTGTTTCTGAATTCTGTTTGAAAAATATAGTTTCCACTGTAGTCATATTTTGAACAAAAGCAGTTGTGTAAACTTGGCAATTGTGAATACTGAAATTATGATTCCACTAAAATTCAGGATGCATGAAGTTAAAATGGCCAAAGGCCATTAGTTAGTGACGTTCTTGGCCCAGCATAAAGCAACCTTGCAAAGAGATAGATACAAAAAAATTTTCAGCTTAGAAATGTTTGATACGATTACCAAGTACCCCAACAGCCAATAGCAGTTAGAACAGGTAGACCATCAGTGAAAAGAGTAGACCATTAATGAATTAGGACTTTATTTTTTATGAGAAATATTTATTACCTACTTCCTGATTCTGTTTTTTCTCAGGCCCTAGACTAATGGGCCCATGCCGGCATATACCAGCATATAACACATTTGGAATAAAAGCATTTAAATTAGGCCCCCATTGTTGGAATAACAGATCGATAATAGAGTAATAATGATATCATGAAGCTCCTTCAGAGCAGGGATTGTTTATTTATTGCCTTTGAATCCCTTGCACCTGGCTTGGGAGATGCTTCATAAATGCCTCCTGATCAATGAATTGGACTGATAAACAGATTAGACTGCTTCATTAAACACAGGTAGTCAAGTAGATTCTTTCTCACTAGTGAGGAGCTCATGAGATGGCAGACAGGCTCTACCAAATCTCAGACAGTCCCTTTCGTGTTGGCCTTGAAAGAACAAAAGATCTATGTTGGAAGGCAAAGGAAATAAAGTTTAGATAGGTGAGTTAGGGTTTGGTTACAGAGGAACTTGAATGCTAGATTGAAAAGCCAGTTTTCAGCCCAGCTACAACTGGAAACCTGATTCTGTGCTCTGATATGCTCAAATATTAAGACATTAGAATTTAAAATCTATAATCTTAAGATGTTTGGTTTATCTTCTAGGAGATACAATAGGATTTCTTCTAGACTTGCAAGAAAAACAAATGATCTTCTGCTTAAATGGCAACCAGCTTCCTGCTGAGAAGCAAGTCTTTACATCTGCCGTGTAAGTATCTGTTCCCATTTGGAACTGTGGGCCTCAACAAAACAAAATCCACGTTCTTCCACAAAATCTGAATTTGTATTGTCCCTTTCTATGACAGTTTCTTTGCTGACAAGTCAGAGTATCTTTGGTGCCACTTCAGTTATACAATGGTATACTATAATGCAGTTAAGACTGACAAGTACAGAGCTGTGAGCTCTTCTACCCAGCATGCACTTGCCTGCCCCCTGCCTCTAGGGGCAGCACCACCTCCCCTCTCTCTCTTAAGGGTTTAAACTTACCAAAGTTCACCATGAATGATGGTAATGCTGCTCTCGTTGTTGACAAGGGCTCTGGAATGTGCAGAGTCAGCTTTGCAGGAGATGATGCCCCTCGGGCAGTCTTCTGTTCCATTGTTGGCACCTCAGACATCAGCATGGAATGGTGGGTATGGGCCAGAAATTCAGCTATGTGGGGGATGGGGCCCAGAGCAAGACAGGTATTCTGACCCTGAAGCACCCCATCGAATATGGTATTGTCATCAACTGGGATGACATGGAGAAGATCTGGCATCATACTTTCTACAGTGAGCTCTGTGTAGCCCCTGAAGAGCACCCTGTGCTGCTTACACAAAGGAATCTGACAACACCAAAAAAAAAATCTGTGACACTTCCTAACATAGAGGGAGTGACTGAAAAACTGTTATAGGTGAGGCAATATGGATACAAAGATGAAAAATGATAGTCCTTCCCCTCAAGGAACTTATACAAGGAACTGGTAGACTGCAACATGTATACAAGTAAGAATGGTGTCAAAGGAGAAAAAGAGAGATGCAGTGCATTCAAGGAAAATTTGAGGGTGGAGAGATCACTTCCATTTGGGCAGTCACGATAGGCTTCATGAAATAGGAGACCATCTTTGTTGAGCCTTCAAGGGAAAGATGGATTTCAGCAAGTGGAAATGAGGGAGTACGTTCCAGAATGGAATGGGTGGGGGGAGAGACAGCTAGGTGGCACAGTGGATAGAGCACTAGCCCTGGAGTCAGGAGGATCTGAGTTCAAATCCAGCCTCGGACACATTACACTCACTAGATCTGTGACTCCAGGCAAGTCACTTAACCCCAACTGCCTCATCAAAAAAACAGAAAGAAAGAAAAGCCTGATGCTTGAAGAATTCAGTTAGTGAAAATATTAGGGGCAGCTAGATGGCAAAGTGGATAGAGCACTGGCTCTGAAGTCAGGAGGACCTGAGTTCAAATTTGGCCTCAAACCAAACACTTGACGCTTACTAGCTGTGTGACCCTGGGCAAGTCACTTAACCCCAATTGCCTAAAAAAACCAAAAAACAGAATGGAATGAGGGAACACTCTATGAAAATGCAGAGACGGAAGATAGGATAAGATTAGAGAATAGCTGGTAATGCTGTTTAACTATAATAGGGAGTATATTAATGGAAATAATGTGAAAATGCTGGAAAAGGAGGCTGGAGCTAGATTATCAAGATTATCAAGGATTTTAAATGCCAGTTTGTGTTTTGTCCACTAAAGGATTTTTTGGCTACTACTGACTTTTTGAAACTTAAAATTTGCCATTGCACCCGGTTTTTTAATTTTGCATATATTTTTAATTTGCAGATCAGGTTTTTTTGCTGCAGCGAGTTTCATGTCATATCAACAATGTGAGTTCAACTTCGGAGCAAAACCATTCAAATACCCCCCTCCTATCAAATTTAGCACTTTCAATGACTATGCCTTCTTGTCAGCAGAAGAAAAAATCATTTTGCCAAGGTAAGGGTCGTACCCAGCGTTTCCCAGACTGGGTACTCTGTGTGTGTGTCTGTGTTGTATGTGTGTGCGTATTTGGTCTTCTACAAATTTGTAGACACAGAATCACAGAATTTGAGAACTGGAAAGGATCTCAGCAATCTAGTCCAACCCATACACAAATAAGTTCCCACTATATTACACAACAAGCTTATCAGGCATCTACTGAAAAACTTTCAAGGAAGAAGAACAAACCACTCCTTGAGTCATCCCGTTTCACTTTTGGGGTGAGGCTTTTGTTGTTAGAAAATTTTTCTGAAATTTCCTCAAACAGAAAAGTATATTCCTTCCTCCACATGTCAGCCCTTCAGACTATAAAAAATGGCTAGCATATCTCCTCTGACTGTTCTCTTCAGGCTGAGCATGCACAGTTCTTTCATGTAATCTTCATATGGGATGGACTTGGGGCCTTCATCATTCCTGGTTGTCCTCTTCCAGACATTCCATTCTCTCAATTCCTTTCTTAAAATGTGACACCTAGGTTGTAGAAAGATGGCTCCATTAACACACTCTTGGTGCAGCTGTGAATTTGTCCAGCCATTCTGGAAAGCAATTTGGTCTTATTCTGAGAAGCACCTTTTAACCCAAAGATCTCACTCTTAGGTATATTCCCCAAGGAGGTCAATGACAAAAAGAAAGATCCCCAAAACCAAAAATATTTATAATAACATTTCCCATAGGAGCAAAGAATTGGAGATGGAGTAGATGCTTATCAGTTGGGGAATGGTTAAGCAGGTTGTGGTGTGTGAATGTAATAGACTGTTACTGTCATATAAGAAACAATAAATATAGAGAAGCATAGGAAGACTTTAGTGGACTGCTGCAAAGTGAAGAAAGCAGAACCACAAAAACAATATACACAATGACTACAACAATATAAGTGAAAAATACAATAACAACACAATTGAAACTGAATGACTAATATAATGACTAAACTTGTTTCTTTGAAGAGATAGGAGAACCTATTCTTCCTCCATTCTTTGCAGAGGTAGGGCACTATGAGTGTGGAGCATTACAGATAATGTTGATTTTTTTTTAATGTGTTGGTTGGTTTTGCTAAACTGTTTTCTTCTTTCTTCCTTGCTTTGTTATAATGGATAACTCTCTGGCAGGATAAGGGAGTGAAGGGATGCATTAGGAAATATAAGTGATACAGATATATATAGATGTCACTACGAATTTATTTTAAAAAAAAACAAACTCTGGTGCCTGTCACTGAACAAAATATGCCAAATGAGGTCCAGCAAGAACAGAGAGTAGTAGAACTATTATCTCCTTATTACCCAGAGCAGTTTCTCTCTTAATGCAGCTCAGCAATACGTTACTTTTTTTTTTAATTTCCATATCACGCTGTTGACTTATATTGAACTCGGAATCCAATAAAACCTCCGTATCTTCTTTTCCTAAAAACTTTTTTCTGACCATGCCTCCTCCATCTTGTGCTTGTGAAATTGGTTTGTTTTCACTCAAGTGTAAGATTTTATTTTTATCTCTATTGAATTTTATTTTATTAGATTCAGCTCCATGCTCTAGTCTGTTGAGATCTTTTTGGATCCTGTCAACCAGTGTGTTAGCTCTCCCTTCCAGCTTTGTGGCATCTGCAAATTTGATGAGCTTGCCATTTGTGCCTTTAAGTAGCTTGAGTGGCATAGGAAAGATGGCAGCAGTAGGCAGCAATTGCTAGCACAATGACTACCCTCTCAGCACAGTTTTCATAGCTGTTGATTTGACAAGAACTGATAGGCATTAATTGTCTCACAACTGCTGAATTCTTTTCCTTGAGAAATGAACATGGCTTCCCCAAGCTGGTGAAAGAATCCAGCTGCTTTGAGTAATTACTTCTAGTTTAAGGCCATTTCACTGTGGTAAATGCAGCTTTCTGTTTTAAAGGGAAAGTCTGCCCTAGGCCTATGTCATTAAGAATGTTCCTACTGCTAATGCACTGCCTGTCATAACAAAAAAGCTGGGTGTCTGATAACATATTAGTAAACTAAGTCTGCCAGGTCCACTGTGTCTGCCAGGTCCACTGTGTGCATATAACTTTAGACCTGTAGGTCTCTACAAAGATATAAAATAAGGGAGTGTGGTGAGCTCCTGTTTTGGCTGTAAAAGCGGTTCCATCAGGAATTCCTCTACACTGTCTCATCCTTTTGCCAAGCATTTACTAGTAACTACGCAGTAGTTTTGGGATATATAAAATTAAACTGATATTGGTGGAAGGAAGATCTCAAGTAATAGCAGGCCCAGTTTTTACAGCCTCTTCTGGGTACTGCTGGTTCTAAAGTCCTTCATGCATTCTTTTGCTGTTTGGGTGTTTTGGGGAAGGAGAAAAGTGAGCACTTCCCTCTATCTGCAGATGTTTTGTTTTAGTTTTTTTCCTGTCATTTAAAATCTTGTATTGACTAGCTGTGTGACCTGGGCAAGTCACTTAACCCCAATTACTTTAAAAAAAAAACCATAAAATATTGTGTTGATGTTCTTTTTTGTCTCACTAATCACTTTAAAATTACACCCACCCCAGTAGAACCCTTCCTTGCAATAAGTCAAGCAAAACAAATCAACACATTGGCCATCTTTGAAAATATATGGCTCATTTTTCACCTGTAGTCCATCTCTGCTAAGAGGCTGAAGTAAGGCATGCATCATCACCATTGTTCTTCTGAAGTCAAAATTGGTCACTGCTTTGATCAGTTATGACATCTTTCAGTGTTGGCTTCCTTTACATTATTGTAGTTGTCATATAAATCATTCTCTTGGTTTTGTTTGCTTCACATTTCATCAGTTCATACCTGTCTTTCCAAGTTTCTCTGAATTCTTATCATTTTTTATGACTCAAGCATTCTTTGAACAGACACACCTGAAGAAATGATTTGGGTTTTTTCTGAGAGAAATTTGGAAAGATGGATTTTGTTCTGGAATCAATCTCAGTTGATTCTAGTTTAACCCCCTAATTTTACATAAAAAGAAAATGAGTCTTAGGGGAAGTAACAAGGTCATATACTAATAAATAGTGAAGCTGGGATTCCAGCCCAGGTCTTTTGACTCCAAATCCTTGCTCTTCCTACTCTGCCATGCTACGTTTTTTTAAGTGTTTATTTCTTATTTAAGAAACACATTCTCAGCAGTTTGGAATTATGCTAAGAAGGTGACTAAAATGCCCTTTGACTTAAAGATCCCACTGAGAGGTACACACCTCCCAAGGAAGTCAGTGATATAAAGAAAAGTTCCATGTTCACCAAAATATTTACTACAGCATTTTTTTGTGGTAGCAAGAACTGGGAAGAAAGTAAATGTCCATCTGTTAGGGGATGGCTAAATAAATTATGGTATGTCAGTGTAGAGGAAAGTTTCTACAGTATAAGAAATCATGAATGTGATGAATATATGGAGAAACATGAGAAGACTTCCATGAACTGATGCAAAGTAAGGTAAGCAAAACTAGGAAAACATTTTCTAAAATGATTACAAAATGTTAATGGAAAAAACAACAAAAGCAATTGAAATTGAATGCTGGGGAGTGAAGCAAAAGACAGCTTCTCCCCACTAGTATTTGACATAGTTCTGGAAATGCCAGCAACAAGACAAAAAAAAAAAGGAATCAAAAACATAGAGGTAGGTAAAGAGGAGATAAAACTATCTCAGTTTGCAGATGATATGATGGTATACAAGGGGAAAAAAAAGAATCAGCAAAGATGCTGAATGAGACAGTAGCTTCAACAAAGTTGCAAGCTACAAAAATCAACAGCATTTCTGTATAATGTTAAAGAAGCAATAACAGAAAGGGAAATCCCATTCCAAATGCATAAAATATCTGGGGATCTACCTACCAAAGCACACAAAACACTTGTATAGATTCAGTTACAAAGTGCTCCTCAAAGAAATAAAAAAAAAATTTAATTGAGGAATATTCATTACTCATAGCTAGGCTATGACAATACTGCCAAAATTAATTTAGACTTTTAATGCTATACCAGTCAAATTATCAGGTAGATACTTCGTTGAATTTTATAAAATAGTAACTGAATTCATTTGGAAAAACAAAAGATCTAGACTATCAAGGGAAATGATGAAAAGAAGTTGGAACAAAGGGGGAATAGCACATCCAGACCTCAAACTATATCATAAAACAGCAGTTACCAAAATTTTCTAGCATTGGTTAAAAAACAGATATAACTCAGTGGAACAACCTAGACAAGGGAGAATCAAAAACAATGAACTCAAGAACCCAGTGTTTGATAAAGTGGAAAATATAAACACCTAGAAAAAACCTCCTAATCTGATTAAAACTGCTGGGAAAACTGGAAAGCAGTCTGGCAGAAATTAGGCTCAGACCAATACCTTAAACCATGTACCACAATATATTCTAAATGGACGGATGACCTTAATATTAAAGATCATACTTTTAAAAAATTAGAAGAGAAACAGATCATAGACCTCTCACAGCTATGGGTAGGAAATGTATTCTTTTTTTTTTTTTTGGCTAGGCAATTGGGGTTAAGTGACTTCCCTAGGGTCACACAGCCAGTAAATCACTGTGCCACCAAGCTGCCCCTAGGAAATGTATTCTTACAAGGGATAGAGACAACTACAAAAGGTAAAATACACAATTTGATTACATGAAACTATAAAGTTTCTGCACTAAGTTAATGCACATAAGATAAGAAGGAAAGTGGTCAAATGGAAAAAAATCTTTGTATCAGATTTCTCTGATAAGTGTTTGGTATCTGAGATATATAAACAATAGATATACATAAGACTAATAGCCATCCCACAATAAATGAGTGGTTAAAGGATATGAACAGTTTTCAAAAGAACTGCAAGCTATGCACAACCACATGAAAGAATGCTCCAAATTCAAATAAGAAGAGAAATGCAAATCAAAACAATTCTGAGGTTTCACTTCATACCCTGAAAAGTGGCAAAATGACAAAAAATATGGCAATAATCAATGTTAGAGGGGTTGTGGAATGATAGGCACGCTAATATATTGTTGAGGGAATGGTGAAAGGGTACAACCATTTGGAATTGTGCAAATAAAGTGACTAAAATCTCTATACCCTTTGAACCAGAGACTCCATTATTGAGCTTTTATATCCCAAGGTAGCCAATGAAAAGAAAGTCCCCATATACACCAAAAATAATTATAGCAGCACTTTTTGTTATAGCAAAGAATTGGGAACAAAGTAGATCCCCATCATTTGGGGGGAATAGCTAAACGAATTGTGGTACATGAATGTCATGGATTGTTACTGTAATGTAAGAAATTAGGTATGATGAATACAGAGAAGCATGGAAAGGTCTTTACCAATTGATGCAAAGTGATGTAAGCAGAGCCAAGAAAACAATATACACAACTACAACAATGTAAATGGAAAGAACTACATAAAAAAATCAAAAGTGAATGTAACAAAATTACAAGGATCAAGCAGGATTCAAATGAAAAGATAATGAGAGGACACCTCAGTCCACCCCCTTGTGGAGGTGGGAGATCCACACATATTACATATTACATATTACATAGGTTTTCAGACTTTTTCAATGTATTAACCAGTTGTTTTTTTCCCCTCTCTAAAAAATACTGTTTTTTATATGGGATGATTGGGTTGGAGGAAGGATACTTGAGATAACTATGATAATGTAAGAAACAGAAATTATCAATAAAAACTTACTTTAAAAAAACTAAATCCTATGGCATTATAATAACCAAGCTTGGCCCAAAGAAAAGGCATAAGAACATACCTCCTTCCCTTTGCAAAGATGGGCCACTGTGGATATGGAATACTGTGTATATAATGCTGAACTTGGTTAATGTGTTGGTTAGTTTTGCTAAACTTTTTTTCTAATAATAATAGTAATAATAGCTAGCAGTTATATAGTACTTTAAGATTTGTAAAGCACTTTGTATTCTTTGTTAAAAGGGATGGCCCTCTGTGAGGGAAAGAAGTGCGAAATTCATTGGGAAATGTAGGTGATGAATCCTATAATTAAGAATTGGTGATTGAGAAAACTATAGTTCTGAAGTGCTCCATAAATAATAAAAAGTATCAAAAAGATACAGAAAGAAAAACTTTCACAGAAGGCTCCTAGGTTTATTGTTAGAAATACTTTTTTATACTTTGTAAATTAGGTTCTGTGTGTAAAGAGCAAAGCTGTATGGGACATAGACTTCGCTTAGGTGAAACTCTGGAATGAAGCATCCTCCTTCCCTTAAAAAATTTTTCTTCCCAAACCATAATATTGTTCATTCCTCATTGTTTACCTTTCTTACATTCTCCTTATTCAGCCTCCACAAGTAGTCTTTGTTCTCCTTCCCTCCACACTCCCCATTTCATTTAATGTTATTTGATATCAGCCTGTGTTTGCTGCATCAGCATTTTAGTTTTTAATTCATTTTAGTATTGGTTTGTCCATAACTCTGGAAGTGATTGATATCTGATTTCTGAGAAGTTCATTTTATATAAATATATGTGACTAAGAGGCTGCATGATTAAGTTAGAACCAGAAATTACCATAGGATCTGCCCAGGCTGTCCTCCAGTATATGAGAACATCAGGATTGCGGCACTGAACCCATACTGGAGTCCAGCCCAGAACTCTCTCTGATGGGCAGCAAGGGCCATGTTATGGGTGAGCCAAGTTATTCTAGCTTAATGTCATCTTTATGGTTAGGAATATGTTCCAAACAATTCTGATTTTCCTTAAGAGCCTACATGAGTAAACCTGTCATCCATAATTTTTTTAAGCCATACTTTCACCCTGTACCTTATCTAGATTTAATGGATTCCAAAAGTTTATTATGCATTGTATAGACCAAGATTGCCTTGTATTTATCCTAAATTTCCTCCTTCCCAGCTTCAAGTTAGTGGCAAAAGGATGGAGAGAGATATTTCTAGTATCCTCAGAACAGACTTTCATCCACCTTGGCCAGTTTTTTTCTTCAGGGCTCTATTTTCAGCACAATTTTGCCAATCAGATTTTCTATGCATTGACTTTATTGAATGTTTCCAGTGTGCTGCTGTTCCACATAAATTGTGTATCCTGTTTAATTTCAAATGACCTCTTCATTTCACTTTCAGGCACAGGCGTCTTGCTTTGTTGAAGCAAGTTAGTATCAGAGAAAACTGCTGTTCACTTTGTTGTGACGAAGTAGCAGACACAGAACTCAAGCCATGTGGACACAGGTATGACTAATTGTCGGAAGTCTATCTGAGTTTGGCAAACAAAAGTTTCAGTCCATTTCTCTTATGACTTAAGAACAGTGTTCCCATAACCGCTTTGCCCTACTTCCCGTAAGGAAAGTGAAGGACTAATAACATAGGGAAACAATACAGTATGGGAGGAAAGTGACACTTAGGAGCTGTGTGATGACAGGCAAGTCATCTCTCTGAACCTCAGCCTTTTCATCTGTAAAATGGGAATAGTAGAATTCAGACTACCTATTGTTCAGAATGGGCTTTTATAAACTCTAAAGCACTCTATAGACGTGACTTGTGAGTACGATGGTACTAAACAGGCCTGGCATCTTCCTAGATCCCTAAAATTATATTTAAAAATAGATGGCTCATCCTAATTAACAGAAATTCCAATTTTGCAAGATGAAAGGGAAAGAGATTTGATTGCTGCTTCTCAAAGCACTTTCTGCTATACCACACTGCCCTGTCAAAGGCAGCCTTGAACTGTCCAAAGGGCCAAAGGCAGCAGCCTTAGAAAGAGCCATAGGCACAAATGTTGCTGAGGAAAAGAAGCAACCATGGGAAGATATATGCCCTGGGAAAAACACTCATCTGTAAAATATGGGGACAATAATCATTTTCACCACCCACCTTGCAGGGAAATGATAAATAAAGTGCCATGCACATTATGTATCCATATAAGGAATAAGCCCTAGGTGGGATTAGAGAATATGATCAAGCCCCACCTAATGCTTTGATTGCAATAATATGATTATGGTCTTAACTGGTATTTCTTTATTTCTTCAGTGACCTGTGCATGGATTGTGCCTTGCAACTGGAGACTTGCCCATTGTGTCGACAAGAAATAGTGTCTAGGGTCAGACAGATTTCTCACATTTCATGACACATATGGAGAAGCAACACGGACTTATTTTTAATCAATTCCAGCCAATGTCTGAAAAGGAAAAACATCTCTAACCAGTTGTGCGCACGTTGAAACTATAGCCATGGCCAGATTTTACGCTAAGCAGTAGTTTGTCTAAGACAAAACCCTTTAGAACCTAACCCAGGAGGCCAGCACTGGGAAATTTGTTCTGCCAACAAGGAGAGCTGAACGCTATGGCTGAGTCTTGGGTCCCTCTGAGACAGACACCAGGAGACACTGCCCGCATGAGTGCTGAAATCAAATTTGCACTGGAATCTTCCATGTTCAGTACATTCAGTTGTTTAAAACAGGATGTTTTGTCTCATACTCGAAAGTCTTTATTTTTGGCCAAAACCATTATGGAGAAGTAGTCTGCCAGTGTATCTTGGTTAAGTATAACTTCCTGCTGGTCAGAGACTGTGTTAACATTGAACTGCAAGACTTGAATCCCTAAAACTAAAAATAAACACATCTTACTACAAGCTACATGAAGGACCCGAAAGAAGGTGCATAGACTGCAAAAAAAAAAATCCAAATTTTTGATATCTCAGTGATTCCAAAGAACATTCTAATTTTTTTTAACACAGAAAATTGGTGGTATTTTCACATTCATAGTGTTTTTATCCAATTTCAGTACCCGCATTTTGTGAAAGAAATAATATGTTTTACCAGTGTAGGAGGAACTCTTACATTAATTACAATGCTGAACTGGAGAAAATTTACTATTTAGGGTATTTTTAAGGTACCATCAATCAGGTTTTTTTTGTTTTGTTTTTTTGGTTTTGTTTGGTTTTTTTAAATCAGTATTGTTTTTGAAAGTAATGTATATTTGAAACTTTTGAACTAATAGTCTCAAAAGATCTGGAGGAAATTCTGAAAAACGTATTAATATTGTTTTTAAATAAATACATGTTATTTGAATAGTAAATTCAATCATGGATTGCTGACTATGTCTTCATCAAAAGTACAAGTCCCTCTCTGGGTCTCTGATGAAGATCTTCAAGAGTTTGTTTTGTTTTTCTCCCAGAAAATTGGAAGGTAGAATTGTAAATTCACAGTACTTATTTTATAAGGGTGTACCTCAGCAGTTGCCTTTTAATTTATGCCAACTAATTACTGAGTTTATACTTGAACAGTAAAGGTGTCTTCTGAGCTTTACAATGTCTTAAATTGGATGCATATTCTTTTTTCCCTCTCATTGCCGCCCCTTCTAGATTATAAAGTGACAGTAACCCGAAGCCTGTGCTATTACAGAGCTCATTTCTTCCTGTAAATTAGGATGATGGGTTTTCCCCATGCTTTCAGTCTTCCATAAACTCTAAAATTTCATGTTCTTCCCTTAGCTTGTGGTGAATATGATAATTTGTATTAAATAAATAAAGTATTTGTTGCATTTTTTTTTGCAGACAAAAGGTCTGACAGCCTTCACGGGTACATGCTGTTAGGGTTGAGATGTGAGGTTCTCATCCCTTTTTTTTGGAGATGGGGGGGGACAAAAAGAGGGAGCTGCTAATAGTTGCTGATTTGCAAGACCTCATAAATCCTTGCAAAGGGGAAAGGGGGAGAACAGGTGTGATGCAAGGGATAATGAGCAAGTGTTAACAGAAGAGGTGAGATTAGTCAAAGAAACTGCCAATATACTCTTTGGAAAAATCTACCCTTGAGCTTTACTCTTAATAGAATCTACTTTTCCTAGAAGTAGCTCAACCCTTAGACCAGGAAGCATTACAGGTAGGGTTCTGGTAAGCATTGTAGCTAGGAAGAAGTGGTAACATTGGAGGCCCTTCAGGGGGCACATTTTAGGTAGGGTGTGAAAAGCCAGCTCAAACCTGCTCATGTGAGTCAGTTGTTAGACTTTCGGTGTGAACGTTCACATTTCAGAAATTGCCAAGTGCTCCAAATCAAGACTCAATTGAAGGTGTGTCATGCTTACATTTTTCTCCCAGAGAGTCAGTTGTTAAATATTTACCAGTACACTCCTGATTTTAGAAATTTGTTCTTTTTGCAAGAGACAGAGAAATGGGAAGAATTAGGCCTTGTAGTAGAAAGAAATGCAAATCAGTTTGTCTGTGCCCACCCAGTATCCAATCCTGAAGGACTAAATCCACAATAACATGGCATTTTGGGCCATGAGAACTTAATGATGCTGTCACCTGAATGGTAACACTTAAATATCCACTTGAGAGGCAGCATTTTGTAGTGAATAGGAAAGAGTCAGGAAGACCTGGTTTCCAGTCCTGCTTCTTCCTCATACTAGCTGTGTGATCCCAAGCAGGTCACTTAGCCTCTCAGTGAACCAAGCAGCTCTCTTGAACTCTTAAGTTAAAGAAAAGATTCCCATGTGCCTTGGTAGAGGGTATTTGTAACAGGTAGATCCCTACACCCACAATGCAAGAAAACAAAAAGTTTATACATATATACAGTCTTTATCTGGTGGGCCCTGGGGTATTAGAACTCTAGGCAGTGAGGTAGTGGTCCTGGAGTCGTGAAGACCTGAATTCAAATGTAGTCTCAGACGTTAGCCATGTGATCCTGGGCAGTCACTTAACTTCATGCCTCGGTTTCTTCATCTAATCACCTATCTCAAAGGGTGGTTGTGAGGATTCAGATACAGTATTTGTAAAGCACTTAGTGCCTGGCGTGTAGTAAGCACTTACTTAATAAACGCTTATTCCCTTCCTTCCCTCCCCCACAACTGGAAGTCAGAGATGCACAATATCAACTCTTGAACAATGAAGAGGGGAAAAGGGAGTTGTTTGTTTTAAAGAAAAGGCCTGGACTGTGGAATGACTGAAGTAGACTGACTGACTGGCCTCTGCCGGCAGAAAATAAATGAACTTATTTAATTGATGAGAAAGATTTGTGAGGGAACTGGCTCATTGTGAGGTGTTCAGAGCCTGCAGTGGTGCCAGACCCCTGTGCATGTCTCCAGTTGTTCAAGTGACTTTGTTAATATGGCATGGTACAAATCAATCAATTGCTCACTGTTTGGAATGCCCTTCTCTGTGTACAATGAGCTAAGAATCACTGGTGAGTTTCCAAACTGTTCATTTCCAGTTCAGTATGGGTGGAGGCAAAGTAATCCAGTTTGATTAAATAGAGGAAATGTTTTCTGGGCAACTAAGTTTACACCAAAGCATTTTTCAGTTTTAGCCATTTTTGCTGAAAATTCAATTATATCATTTAATTCCTTCCATTCTTAAACTGAGGGCAATATATGTAACTTCCTGATAAACTAATGGTCACCTTAAAAAAATGCCATTTACTGTTAAGTATTGTAATATAATTATTTCCTCAGGTACATGGAGCTATTTCCTGCCCCTCCCCTCCCCCAAATTAGATTCCCCCAGACCATACCATGGTTTGTAAAGTCTATGTCTGGTTATTTTACTTTTTTCTGTCTCCTTTCTGTCATATGTAGCTTCTTGTCCGTGAGTCTGGTGTAGCAGCCAACCCCACCCTTCTAATCTGCTTTGGGCTTTGAAAGCAAATCTCCAGGCTTATTAGAGTTGTATGTAAAGAAAGAGAAAGTAGGCTCTGTATGAGGATCCTGTGAACCATAGCCTTAGTGCTTGGACTCTGTTGTAGAGTCCTTTTGGACTCTTCACTTCTCAGAGACTTGTTTTGCTTTTGTGTTTCTTGCCTGTGTTGCAAATGGGTAAAATATACCAGATAGGTAGGCGTAACTACATTTTATTAAACTATGAATTTACCTCCCCGAGGACAGATTGGTCCTTATGGACCCTAAATAACCACCCCCTACAGAAAGCAATTTATAATTTTGAGAATTTGCCTGCATCTTCACATCTAGTTTGAAGGGTCATGTTTCAAAGTTGCATAGAAGAGTGTGACCATGGGCTAGTTTGGATAGGTGTGTATGTCCTGGACTAGAGAGCCCCTTAAATTGTGGAGCAGCTTTTTTTCAGTGGAATGATCCATTCTTTGATTAAAAGCATGCTGGATGGATATCTTACAAAAGTTAGGGACTGAAAGAGATAGGGTTGGTGTTGGGAACCAGGAGTCAGAAGGATAATGGCACACAAATTGGATTCATACTCTTTCCCCTAGGGATGTAATAAAAATTAGAAGAATCTCTTCTATTTGTAAATTGCGTTTAACTATTCAAAGGGTATTCCCCTTTGAACCTTACAATCAGCTTGTGAGGAAAAGTGAGGCTCAGAGGGAACTTGCCCAAGGTAATTGAGTGACAATAGCCAGAGACAGAAGTCTTCCTACTTCCAACCCAAGGATACTATGCCACTCTGGAGAGCTTTGTCCCTTGGACAAAAAAAAAAAAAGTCATGCCTCTTCCTGGCTAATCTAGACAGGAAAGCTCAAAATACAATATCACAGTTTCTCCTGAGGTAACTTCCCCCGACCAAGCAGTGAGAAGATTGCCTGGGACAAGGAACCCAGCACTCATCTCTAAGATCCTCAGGTGTCTAGATTAGGGTAAAGAGACAGAAAATAGCCTTTCATACTAAAATGCCTTGGATTAGGGAGGCCAGAGCCAGGTGCCAAAGCCAAAGATGTTGGATGGCCTTCTTTCCACCCCTTCCTACCACATGACCCTTTTGTTTCTCTATCCTTTTCATTTCCCCTTTCCTTTCCTACTTCCTCTGGTGTCATTCTGCTTCTTGTCTTCCTCTCCTTTGGTCTCTACTTAGGCTAATCCAGGGCCCCCTTTGGAATTGCTTAGTTTCAGGTGGTGTTTCACACCAAAAAGGTGGCTAAGTCTTGCCTCTGCCTAAAAGACAAACCTCCCACTGCAAGAGAAAAACCAGAACAAGATTTCAAATATGCCAATACGATACAATGCCTTTCACATTTTTAAGGGTTTGATAAGTTAAGGCCTTAATAATTTAAGTGCTTGAATTAACAAATTTCATAATAACTATCATTTCAATCCATTTCAATCCAATAAACAATAAGCACCTACTATGTGCCCAGCACTGTAGTAGGCCACAGGGATACAGTTAAACAACTCCGTCCCCTCAAGGAGTATACAATCAAAAGAGGAAGACAACACACAAAAGGAGGCAAGAAAGTTGGGGGATGGGACACTTAGAGGTACCTGGCATGAGGTTTTGTTTTAGGCAAAGCATCAGATGCAGTGTGGAAATTTTATAGTGCTTTAAGAGTTGCAAAGCACTTTATAGATATTATCTCATTTCATCCTCACAAATAACAAATACTACTATTATCCCCATTTTATAGATGAAGAAACTGAGACTAAAGAAGTTTGCATGACTTGCTCAAGGTCACACAGCTAGTAAGTGGCTGAAGCTGGATTTGAGCCCAAATCCTTCTGACTCCAGGCCTTCATGAGGGAAAGTTTCTCCTCTAGAAATTACTCTCTTGATCCCTCCTCAGCTCTGCCTTATAACTTGGGCCCACCTTCCTCCCAACAGGTTTCATCTCTGCTTCCTATACCTCCCTTTACCTTCTGTCATTCTTCCAGCTGAATCCTAACTATATCTTATCAGCTATCTGCCCTTTCCCCAATTCCCAGTGTGGTATTAGTGTGTGTAGACAGAACACTTCTCATAGCCAATACCTTCCTATGATAATTCAGATGGGTAGATCTCATCCTCTTTGATTTGAAGAATCTAGGAAACTGAACTGGATTCTCATCTCAGAAACCCAAAGAGGGAGAGAATTTACTTAACGAAACCTTTGGGCAAATGGCTACATACCACCAAGTTTCCTCCAGCCCTTCCTCCATGTTATATGTGAGAAAAGTTCCGTTCAATCATCAATATCCATCTCATTGGATAGAGAAAAAATATCCAATCTCACCTTTTTTTACATATTTTAAAAACTCACTTTTAATAAGATAAATCAATAAAAAGAACTATTTCTCTAGCACAGTGTTCTGTACCCGGTAGGTACCTGAATGAATGTTCTGAAGATCTGTAGCATAGAGGAAAGATTTGCAAAGCAGTTTTGAAAGGTATCTGCAGTAAAAGCTCTCCCTGAGACCAAAGTTGACCCCAATTCAGAGTAAGAATTGGCACAAAAATCAGGAAGTCTAGCATCCAGTCAGGCACTGGGCTCAGCACCAGGCCTTCTCCTGTTCTCCTGCAACTTCCAGGTTCCTGGATTAGGTCCCTTTCTTTCTTTTCATTCAGTTGTTTCTCCAGAGGTTTCATCCCTTCAGAAGAGAGAATTGGCAACAGGCCTGTCTTTAGGGAAAGGCAAAAGGACTCAATATGACAGAATAAGAAGACTGATGGTCTTGTATGGGTCAATATAAGGCAGTAAGTCCTCTAGGGGTCGTCTAACAAGCAATGACTTTGGCATCAGAGTACTTGAGTTTAAATCCCACCTGTGTGACCCTAAGCAAGTGACAGCCTCCCTGGGCCTCAGTTCCCTTATTTGAAAAAGGAGTGAGGGG